CTGAAGTGAGCGAGTGCATTGGTGACATGCGCCGAGCCGTGGAAAGTTAGATTCGGACAGCTCGTTAGTGAGTCCATTCCAGGTCACGAGTTAGATAACAGGAGCCGCGTGTATCGGTGGCTAGCACGCATGGACACGCACACACAGACACGCAAACATGAATGCGGCTCCCCCGGGAGCCTTTCTGGACACGGCGTCGCGTTACACAGTTCCAGACGTCTGCGTCTGAGCAACAGAGCCAGATAACCCCCGTCCGTCGGCCTGGTTACCGCCAGGGACCCAAACAAGGAGTCCTTCTGAAGGAGGCCTTCATTTGGTTGCTTAGCAGACGCTTTTGTGCAAAACAACTTAAAAATGTCGCCCCGCAGCTTACATTTGTAGTCATTTGTGCTGGATGACTCATATCCAAATGAGGGGGCAGGGAAACAGGGCAGGGATTCCACACCAAAGTAACACATAGCGGCAAATGTAACATCGAGCAGCCTTGGGGAAATTGCTTAATATACAGGGGTGGGGGCACAGGGGCACTGGCCCCAGCTGAAAGCTGATTGGCCCCCAGAGTGCCCCCTTCCCCACACTAACCGCTTGGCTAATGATAAGATTGGCCCCTCAGTATGAATTATGGGCCCTCTTATGCCCCCCATCGAATTGCCTCTGTTACACAGGGAGGCCATCTCCGTCCCCGAATCTCCCTAAGCCTGCTCGCTAGCCAGCTGTGGCTCCCATGGGAGTTGGCCCCCGCACAGCTATGCAGGTGTGCTCTGGGAGGGAGGTGAAGGGCATGCATGGTACCGGCTGTGGAAAGACGGAGGACCAGTTTGCCTTTGCCTCTCGCGTCTGGGTCACCTTGAGGGTAACGGATAACGAGCCGAATTCCAGCCTTAATTAGACCCCGTCCCGCCTCTGCTGGCTCCGCTCAAAACAAGCTCCTGACAAAGGAGCTAAAGTCCTCGGCCGGCGCTGCCTCTCGCTTCCAAAGTTTCCTGTTGGAATTTTAATCCCTCGTTGTGGTTCTTTTTTTCCCAGCAAGGGTGACTCAGAGCGGACCGGTCTGGCCCGCATACCTGCAGGAGAGGCCACCTTCGGGGTCAGAAGCTCATTTCCTGACCTTGGTAATATCGTCACGTTCTGTGTCAGAACAAAACGCAATTTTTAACCAAACTGGTTCTGAGTCGTAGCCCGTTAGGCAGTGTTTCCGCAGTCCGGTCCTCAAGAACCCGCAGACAGTCCATGTAGTTGCTCCCTCCAAGCTGCCAGTAGGGAGTGAAAATGTGGACTGCCTGGCAGGGAATTAGGACGGAGCAGAAATGTGGACTGTCTGGCAGGGAACTGGGAAGGAGCAGAAATGTGGACTGTCTGGCAGGGAACTGGGAAGGAGCAGAAATGTGGACTGTCTGTGG